GGGTGTCTATTCATTTAGCTGTCTGCTCTCCCTTTTAGAGGCGGCTTGAGCCTCATCTTTGGTGCATGCATTGTCCTACTTTTCTTTAATCCAGTTGTTCTCTCTGCCTTTCTTCCCTTTTTGATTCCCAGCCCCATTTTGTTCCCTGATGTCTAGGCAGCAGAAAAACAGCAGCAGTTCAAAGCAGGAAAATGGACATCCACAGAGATAAACAGATCCCCTCCACCACCACCTGGCAAAAAGGCCATTATCACGGCAGAGGAGGAAGCACAATCCTTTCACACTGTGTAGTCAGAGAGCCTCATAATCAGAAAACTCCAATATCAGGGAATCTGCCTCTCCACTACTTAAAAAAACCCAACAACAACCACGCTTCCTCCTAAGCCTACCAGGGAAACATACAGGCTATACAGAGAAAACAAAGCTGCACTATGTGGCAGATGAATAAAGACACATGCTACATGTTTCGTCCAACATGTCACATGCCCACAACATCTAGTAACCAGTTCCATATTCAGCCCCATCAAAGCTATCTCCTGAACCCACACACAGCTCTCCTGGTCAGCTAGCCACTGAAATTTTCAGCTAGAATATACTGTTGTTGTATGGAGACACCAGCAGAGAAGAAATAATGCCCTTTTAGGCAATTAAAGTCCTGTAGAGTAGGTTTTAAAAGCTGAGGCAGGCTTTGAATTGGTGGAAGAGCAATGAAGATTAAGCAGCATTGAGGGAAATGTGCTAACAGAAACTCTTTTGCAAAATTGATGAGCCATTGCCTTTTCTCTCTTCCTTGTTAGTGAGCTGCTCAGAAAGCAAAGGGCATGCACCACCAGTGGAGAAGGGGAGACAAAATCTAACATGAGGAATGATTAATGTACAGTCCTGCAACTCACAAGAGAAAAGAACAACCCTTTTATAGCTTCAGTAGGCTCTATTTTACAATGTAATTTTAAAGCCCAGAAAAAAACATGTCGTGGATGGCTTGTTAGAGAAGCAAACACAGCACTGACAATTGTTTGCTAATACATCTGTGATACCACCAACCCTCCAAGTGACAATGACCCTACTGATCTCGAAATCAAACTATTTAAACAAGTGTGAGGGCTTTTCTTATTTACATATAATACTAAATGAATTGTCTTGGCTCTGTTTTCAGTACAGCAAGAGAAGGCAACTCTACAGAGTATAGTGGCTTTTACTTTTAAAAATCACACAGTATCACAAGAAATCAAGTCTGTCAAACAGTCGGACAGATGCAGTATATTTATTTTCTTTTAATGCCCATATATATGTATCAAACATAGGAGCTCAGAGTCTACATATGGATGTACTCATATATACATGCAAAGCCACCAATTTGTGGGAACATGCTTTCGTTCGCGATCTTATGAGGGTGCTTCTTAAAAGTCAAACATGTTCTACTGACTGATTAATTGAAACCAAGGGATGCTACCTTTCAAAACACAGAATCACCACACAGCCTAAGCCAACAAAACAATGAAGCCTTTACTTATCACAGAACTGTAGAGGTCAGGATAACAGTGCAACGTATGTAGAGAGTGATTACAACCTCCCAGAGGATGTTTCTGCCTGAGGTGAGTTAGTAGACACATCCTCAGATTAAACTTTCATCAGCAGATGTCTGTATTTCATCAATCTTTCATTACGGCATAGCTTAGAAAATCATTTGGTCAGGTGTCATTAGAAAACCTCTTCATCTTCCAAAGCAAAAGCTACCCAAATAAATTGCTATAAGCAAAACAGAGTTAAAAAGGAGGGCCTGCAGATTGTGATGGGGTTTTGTTAACTCAAAATAGAGGAAAATACACATTTCTACAATATTTTAAAATTGATACACTGCCTTTCACAACAAATCCAATTACTATACAATCTCTCCGGTCAGAAGATGCAGCTAATCAACAAAATCTATGTGCAACAACTTCTGGTAGAGCTTCATCCCAGAAACTGTGATTTCATCAGCTTCCTGGACAATTAATCCGTCCAAGCAACAATGTGATCCCCTCACTTTTCTCTGACGATGACAAACTCATGGAAAGCTGCTTTTGTAATCAGTGAGTGGCTCTGGTGTTTCTCACCTCAGGACCAATACGTAATCTTACCAGGATGAGCCCAAGGACTGCATGCTAACGTATACATGAAAAGGGATGCCATACAATTTCCAGCTTAACAATATGGTTTTCTCAGCTTGGGTTCTGCAGTCACCATGTTTTTTTTTCTTGTGCATTAGTACTTCTTCAGCAAATAGCTACATTGTTTATGCTACCCTTCAAAGCATGTTTCCTATACCGAACCTCTCTATGCCCAAAACACATGGTACATCTGGATTACTCAATAATAAATTCGTTCTTTCTGCGTGTCTTTTGTATCTCCTGTTATTTATCATCACATCCAGTCTGAGTTCAGTTACAAATAATGGCTAACTCTTTTCCTAATCTTTCTTTTATTTTTTTTAATGGGTCAATAAAGTTAAATTTCAAAAAGAGTGGGCTCCAGCCCTGACATACTAGACACAAAATTTCTGTAGAAGCACTTATGAAAATACTTGAGAAGGGCTAAGAACAGGAAAGCTCTGAAGTCAAACTTATGATAAAAAAGTAGATTTTGGTAGAAGTGGCTAAGAATATTACTGTGCCAGCAAATGAAATATTAAGGCTGGTACTGATTGTGTGCTTATATACAATAAACTATTTCTTGCTGTTATTTACATTGACCAATCAAGACAAGTCATGTTCTCTAGCAACAACAAGAAATGTTCACTTTCAACACAGAAAGTCCAGCTCCCTATTCTGATGGTAGAAAGATGAGAAAAGGTCAGTTCATTTGCTCTGCCAGGTTCTCTGTATTGTATCACACAAAAAAACAAAACAAAACCAAAAACCACCTATTTTCAGGAAAACAGTAGAGGAAGCTTCTAGCTTTTACAATCAAAAGGAAGAGACTGGGTTTGTTTGGGGCTGGTTGGTTTGTTTTTAAACTTGGAACTGTACTTCTCCCACATGCTCCATAACTTTTTTTTTTTTTTCCTTAATAGAGACATGAGTTTCTGCAGAAGTGTCAACAGAACTGGAATTCATCTTTGGTTCCCAGATATGGCATGAAAATGGGAAAGAGTGGGATCAGAGATGCTATTTCCTGGTACATAGCTTTAGGTAAATGTTGTGGGATCCCATGGCAGATCCATAGGTCAGAGCAGAGAGAATGAATGACTTGTGCACACACAACCTTTCCCACCAACTCCTGTCCTACTGACAGGGCTTATATTCCTCTAGGAGAGTCTGCTATTGCCTCCCACCCCCCCAGATACATTTCACCAAAAGCTTACAACATTCTTGGTGCCACATGATTGCAAAAAGCACATTTCTCAAACTCTAATGTCCCCTTTCAATATGGATATTTCTATGACCAGTTCTGTCTTTAGAAGCAGAAAGTACCCAGGCTGGAGACATGTGACTCACATACTTTATAAACAAAATAATGGAATGATTTTATTTTCTAAAGAAATGTAAATATTGAAAAAAAGAACTATAAATACTCCAAAACAATTAGCAAAGAGCAAAGCTGACTTCCTTTATCTTGTAAAGCTGCATCACATTTAGGTGCCCTTAGGATGCCCTATTTCCTAACCAAAACAAGAAGGGAAATGTGCAGTGCACTCATTTTCCAAGGCAAACAAAGCACTGTAAGGGTTTATTCATAAGAAGTTAAAACCTTTTTACTTCCCACCATTTCAAATTGGATTTGTCCCTTTCAGATCTCCCAAAAATCTGCACCAATGGAGGGGAAATACAGTAAAAAAAAAAAGAAAACAAAATGAACCATCAGTCATTTATAGAAGTAAAAATATTGAAAGATGGAATTAGGCCACCATTCCTTTTGGAAATTTGGCCAGAGATAATCAGAAACTTAGCAGGGGTGTGACTGTGTGTGTGTGCGAGAGAGACTAAAGAAGTGTCAGAAAATCTTTTACTGGGAAAGATTTTTCAGGTCTGAAATGGCATTTCCCATCAAAAGTCAGGGACAAAAAAAAACCCCAGACCTTATTACTGCAAATATCTCAATAATCAAACATGGACAAAAAACACAGCAGCTCATTAACGTTATTCAACTCTTACTACCCATGTATCAGGATGGTTACTGTCCGAAGAACGTGGAATTAATGTGAATGGCAATGGTTTTGACGCATCAAAATGCTCAATGGGACAGGGAGACAGTTTGCTGTTCACCTGTGTATCAGTCACCTGCACAAGTCTGTTCCCACAGGAGTGTTACACGACAAAGAAGGATGTTACCAAAAGAAGACAGGTCAGGAAGGAATGCTAAGGAAAGACTGCCTCCAGGACAGGAAGAATGTTAGCGTACATCTGTGGTCGCTCCCTGTGGCAGGGAGGAACTTCAGCTCGCAGGCAGTCAGGTTTCAGGGACAGTTGTCTGCACACCCTTCAGAACTGTCTTACATCAAGATCTTTAAGTAATAGTCATGGCTTAAAAACATTACTTTTCCCTCCATCTTAATTTTTTCTCTGTCAAATCAAATACCTCAAGAAAGTGGAAAACATGCATAAAGTCAAAATAGCACATTTAACTTGGACCAGCAGGAAGACATGCTTTCACATAGCCAGAAGAAACATACTACAGGGTGTATTTAAAAACATGGTTTTATATTGAAAAGTATTATATAAGTCTCTAAAACAGAATGAAGTTGCATGTGCAGTTTTATGCACCTGGATGAATCAATCTGATAGGTTTGCTCAATACAGGCTTATCAAAACAGCATGTAAGTGGTACACTATGAAAAGCATAAGATTAAAAAAAGTAATGCCAGTAAGCAAAAGGAAAATTTGCCCACCTCCTCATAGCCCCTGGGACACAATTACTCAAACAAAAGAATAGGTTTTTATTTGCTCCAGGTGTATGTGTATTCTCTATCAGCAGCCAGAAATAGCACCAAGCCAAGAGGGATAAGGAGAGTTAATACTCACCGGCCATTGTCACGCCCCACACCCCAGACTCTGATGCTCACAATGGGCTGTGAATGAAGAACTGTGCGGTCCATGGGATCGATCAGGTTCAGCATGTCATTTTCCAGTATAAGGTACATGTCTTTGCCCTGCAACTCCAGACAAAGTACAGTTACACATTCCGTCCCCCTCTCAATCTGAGATCAGTGTGTGTTATGTCTATGCTGTTTAGACTTGCTTCATTTACTCAAAGCTTCCATTTGTTCCAAGACCAATTGAAAACAAGTTCATTTACTTCTGGTGTGAAAAAGATCCAAGATGGTATCTTGCTACTACTGTATTTTTAAATTATCCCAATCACAAAAAGCTTTGACGTCTTTTAAATGCAAGTGTTTGACTCATTCGATCCCAAGTTATTCAACAAATTATGCGTTTATCCATTCTCCAGTAAATATTTCCAAATGTATGAGAAGTCAAGAACTGTCTGAATAGTAACAGCTTACATCAAAACCTGTACTCTTGAGGCAGAGTTTCTTCCCTCAAACAATGTGCTATGTTTCCATAAACTTTAACCAATGGGTCATGGGAACAGACAGCAATTTGTACAAGTCAACGGATTTGTAGAATACTCTTTGAAGAAACATTAATTAAAGGGGAAAACCCTAGCATTAAGACACAAATGTGAATTCTTCCAGTGACTGCAGAATCCTGAAGCCAGGATTTCTCCCTAAGTCTTCTGGCATGTAAGAACAAGAAGAATGTTTTTCCCCTTAGAGGAAACAAATTTAGAGGCAATTTTCCTTTTGATGCTAATTCACAAATGCTAATCTTCCTCCTATGCCTAGTATTTAAGAAGGTCTGCTACCTGTTTTATCACATCTAATAGCTCTCTTCTCAAAGACTGCACACCTACTCTGCAGAACACAAAATCCCACAGAAATCATCTAGACCTATTGCTGAAAGGTAAGACAAGCTCCTACTGATAAGAACGTGGAAGCTATCAGCTAAATATAGAGTAATTTATTTCCTCTCTATTGTGCCAGAACCTATAAATGAACGCAAAGAATGGAAAGGGTCTGACTTCCTACTGACAAATGTTTCAACAACAACCTCTTTCTTCACCTCAGTGACATAGAAACCCTCTTCCCGCTTGGTTACAGTGGCTCAGGTTTTAATGACATCTAATTTTGTGTCTAAGACATAGATTCACATCACCCTGGGAGGGCCTGCTTCCAGGGTTTCCAGGCTAGACAGCAAGGGGCAGTCACTGCTGATCACCTCTCTCCCCCCAAATCTCCTAACAGGGATTCAAAGGGGAACAGTGATACAGAGCTGGCAGTGGAAGCGCCGAGAGGCAGTATGGGAGAGGCAGGGGATGTGGGCTGGTTATGCAATGCCAACATAAGAACATTTTGCCTGATGCAAAAAGTATAGCTCTGGCCAAGATGCAAGGCTGGATACATGGGCTGCTCCTAGAAAAGCTTAAACAGATGTAGCTGCTATAATGATGCATTGAAATGCCTGTGGCATACAGAAAGAGAAACACAAGTGATAAAAAACAAAAGCCAGGATGACACCAGGCAGGCCAGGATGATGAAGGAAACCAAACAGAAAATAGTCATCACAAAGAAAAAGGGTAAGAAATTTGCTTGGAGAACAGAAGCAGTAAACAGATTGTGTGCAGAATGCTACCAAGTGTCACAAAGATTGCTTTTTGGACCCATTTCTACTTATGTATTTGTTCCAGAAGGAAATTATTAAAAGAAGGTAAAATCTGTTCATCATGCAAAATACACTGGGATTAGGGTAATAAAACTGAATACAATTTAGCTGGAAAAGATGGGAGAATAGGCAGATAAGCAACATTAATCATAGGAAATTATCCTTGCAATGCTTAAGGGATAGCTTTGCCGCAGTCAGAAGCAATGTATTTTGCTAAGTTTTGTTGCCTTATTATACAAAGGCTATTTTAGAGATAAAAACACTGCATAGGGCAAGAAGAAATTATTCAGATAGAATGGGAGCTTGAACATGGGCCTCAGTGTTTCAGACTCCTGGAGAGCTGCAGAGGCCTGATGGTCCATGATGGGGAAAGGGAACAGCCACATTGAGAAAGTGAATAAAGGAAGGCAGTCTCAACTCCAACACTCCTTCAGGGAAGTGTTATAAATTGTGGCATATAGGTCAATGGCAACAATGATCCTTTTTCATGTAAGTGAATTTGAATTATACATGAATAGAATGCATGGAAAAGTAGCATCACAAACAGATGAGTTAAGCTTTTCTTCTTAGATTTTACTACAGAACCATGGAATATAGGAATTTACAGGGAATTTCCCTGAATTTCATGAAACCCCAAAATTAAAGCCAGTGACAAAGCTTTTGCAGCAGGTTCAGGACTTTACCTAGCATGTGGGGTGTTTTTTTTGTGTTATATTTTGTGTTTTTAAATCATGAAAACTTGGGGATGGTCCCAGACCAAATTTCACTTTCATTATATTCTAGCTAAAATAAATCTTTAGCCAATCTTAAAAACTGTCTCTGCAGTCATTGGTTCTAGCTTCATAATAGATTCCTGCTGTGCATGCTGCACCTGCTATGTCAGTGACAAACACACTTTTTTCAGATTCCTCTCTAAAACATGTCTTTTCCAATCACTCTTGAAGCATTACATTGCCAGCAGAAAAATGGGGTTGGTTGTAATGATTTCTTTTAAAAATCAAGAAGACAATTTACTTCAGGGGCCACCTATTCAAGCACAGTGCCGCATTGGTCTGTCAGGCCTATATTTTATATTTTTTAATGAACAGCATTCTTAATTAAAACTTCCATTCAAGAAGACCAAAACTTTTCACCAGTTTGTCTTGAAAACCTGTGAGGGTTTCCAACACAGAACAATGGGACTGACAGAGAGAAATATGGAAAAATGTGAACATTAACTCTTAAACCAAAACAAAGCACACAATTTCAGGGTAAAAAGATATATTTCAAGTTGATCAAAGTCCTTCCAGCTGAAAAATGGATGAAAACCCCATGTACTTTACACACATAAAGAGACTGGGTTTTTCTCAACCCAGCGTCAGCAGTAAGTCTATGTCTGTCCATGACTGACACATCTCTAATCACTTGTCTAGCTGTATTAACTAAATAGGACTGTTCCCAGAAGGATAAAGAAGACCAATCTTATCTTATTCATTTATATGTACAATACGTATTTCTTACATAGAAAACCCCTTCTGAAATTACTTTAAACAGACACTCCAAATGTGTTCCTCAAAACATAGTTTTAATTTTTAAACAGGCACTTTCTCCCAGTTCCTCCTCTGAAGTGTCTCTGCACTGTTGTGGCTGTAACCAGGATGCTGACTCAAGCCTTGGACTGCAACAACAACTTGCGAAACTAAAGGATATTTTTCCTAAAATTTTTACTGAAATAGGTAAGTCTTTCTTTTAATTCCTCTTCTGTCTGGCAGTGATGTTTCACTTAGATCACACAAGTGATGCTTCCAACATTCACTCCTACATCACTCTGGCATTCAAACTGTGTGTAGTAAATCGACATTAGTCTAACCTCCTTAAAACATGTCAGGAGAGAGGCAGAGAATAAGGTTTGGATGAAGTTTAAGTTGTTCCATGAACAATCAAATAATGATGCTTTTTTATGGATTTGTCTTCTATGTTCCCTATATGTCCCACCACTATAACCCTACCTTTTCCTTTCTTCTTGTTTCAATTACTGATCCCTCCACACCTTCTACTCCATCTATTTCAGACATCTATTTCTGACACCACAATACCTCAAGCTTCCTTCATCATGTTTCCCCCTGAGATCACACAGCATTATCCTGTCTTTCCTGCCAAATCAGAAAGAAGCACAGAGCTTGCGTGGTTTAGCTGATGAAGGTGCACTGACCCATCAGCAAACCAAGAAAGAGAAGAGCTGGGCTCTCTGCTTTTCCCTCAGTGTGTGAGAATCTGGCATCCTTCAAAACTGGATGACACTGGTAAACAGATTCAACAGTTACTGGAGAGGAACCAACAGACTGATGACATGAAATTAACTTCCTTCTGAAAAACTGATAAAATAATTATCTTAAAGTAAGGCATCTGTCCGTCAGTCTCAGTCTTCACATACATTTCAAAAGTACAGGCCACACCAATCTGGGTTTCCTTAGAGCCCTTTTGTCACTGAAACCTCTGAAAATGCTGTTCCAAAGCACTACTTTCAAACCTCCATCAGGAGAAAGACCTCCACTGATTTTGGTTTGTCTGAACCCAACCCTGTAATTCTATAGGTGTATACCAGCACAGACATAAACATGAAGGTGCAATCTTTGGGCTGCTGTCCTGATCAGTTTAGAATAAAAATGGCAGCACTTTTCTTCAGCCCTTTTTATGTTTCTTGGCAGTGCCAGCTGGGTTAGGGAAATCCCAGGCACACAGCATGCACATATTTGCCTACAGAGTTGTTCTTTCAAGACATTTTCTTACATGAGAGGGATGTTACAAGAGAAGTAGCTGACCCTGTTCTTACCTCTCCCCAAATGCCAACAGTGTCTCTGATGTCGTTTTTACAGTAAGAGAGCTGTCTGATGCAGTTGTTCACAGCAACACTGCTTTTTCCAGGAGCTAGATCTTCTTCTGCCATTTCCACCCAGCCCAGGGATCGCACAGCAAAGCACTGAAAAGAAACCAGAAAACATTTGAAGATGTACTGGAGTACACAACACGCTGCTGTATCCAGCTATGGAAATCGAGTCGTGCCACAGAAACTATAGACAGGTAAGGTTAAAGAACCCCAGCTAGAAGGGGAACAAAATCAAGGCCTTGTAGATGAGGCCTTTACTTATTCTTATGCTCGAGAATAAGTAAATTAAAATATAATTTGAGACTGTCAGGGTGAAAACGTTTGAAGGAACAACAAAGAATACACGACTTGCCAGGAAAGATATCCATGGAGGTAACAGTAATGATTTATAATAAAAATACTTCTGTTAATATAAAGGAGGAAACAAGGGAGCAGTAAATAGTATAATATATATAAACACAGAGAAATAAAGGAAAAAGCGTAACTACAGATATAGTAGAACTGAAATTTTAGCTAGTATCTAGAGCTGTAATTGAAAAGAAAGAAAATAGTAGTGGATTATGTCTGTTGTGAGATTCACACTCACTGCCTGGCTTTTAACCAGGAAACTGAAATTGTTTTGTGGACTGCAGTAATCATTTCTGCAGTAAGTTTAATGAAGGTAGCAAATGATAACAAACTCAAAGCACTAACAAAAGGATAAGCTATCATAAGAGGAAAGCAGTTTTTTTCTAGAAGAAATTAAAAATGACCTTTAGAATAAACCAACCTAATTATACAGTTTTTCAGCAGAAAGAGGTTTAGCCAACCAGACTACTTGGTTGGCAGAACAAGCCAAGGCAACATTACTTTGCACATATGGTGCTTTTTGCAAACAAAACTAAATGGGAGAAACGGAATGGCACCAACTCTACCCTACATTTACTAGAGAATAAAAAACTAATTCTGGAAAAAAACATGCATGTTTGCTCTCAGGCTTTATGATTGGTGACATACAGACCTCACACTAAGTGAATAGGAGCTTGTCTACAAGACCAAGATTTCCTCCAGAGAACAGTATGGGTATCTCACTCTCAAATGGCAATGCGCCACCAGTGATGGATGCACAGCAGACTGACTGCTGTACCTCCTTAATGGACACACCAAACATTTAAGATGGTTCCTAAAGGTTCAGCAATAATACTTCCTGAATGATACCAAATTCCTGCTATCTTCTGGGTATTTACTATGGCAACAGACACCACCATCAAATGCTGCCAAATCAAATCCCACCCAATCATCTTAAAATAAGGCATCTGTCCATCAGTCTTAGTCTTCACATACATTTCAAAAGCACAAGCCACACCAATCCAGGTTTCCCTGTGACTCTGTGCTCGAGTCAGTGATTGCACCACCGCTGACTGCACTCACTTTTTACATCCAAATCCTCTTTGCTAACCATGAAAATGTCTACAGAGGTAGAGGAGTTGGCAGGAACAAGTTCCAAAAGTACAATTTACAATTAATAACTGAAAACCTGACATCCTATAACATCTCTGTTCTTTCATCCCAAGCCTCCCCTTGCCAAGATATATCAAGTATTAATGTCACTTACTTCTCAGTCCTTGGTACCCCTGCTTGCTTCAGTGTTATTCATATGTTTCTAAAATGTTATGCTGCCCTGGAATGCTATGCTCTTCTGGCAAACTGACTTGCAATTGTTTCAGTTAATCCAGTTCCCTGTTATGTATTTGTCACAACTTTAACCCTGCAAAGACCAACACTCATTGTTCGGCACTGTCGCCTTGTGACACAGTGCTTTCTTTGCTGTCAAGAGCATCCTAATGGTGCTTGGGAAAGCAGGCAATGATCCTGGGAACTGCCTGAAGTTATGCTGAAACTGGTGGCTGCTGGGAAACCCACTGCCTTCAGCAGGACCCTATCACATAGGCACCCAGTCCAGGAGCAGCAACAGCAGGTCCATGCTGGAGTTACCAATTAATCATTCTTCTTGAGATGCAGTAAATATATCAGCTTCCAAGCTCAAAAGCTGACACTGAATATTCGTTTGCTGCCTTCTAAAAACTGCTGTGAAGTCAGTGAGTAGATCAAGCTCACACACCACCACTGGAGTGCCATTTGGGAAACACTGTCCTCAAAACAAGACCCAAAACACCAAGGTATTTTAAATATGCATAACATGCCAACTTTGGCAAACTAAGGGAGGAATAAAATTCATCAGTGTGTAAAAAGATTAATGTGTCTCTCCCTCCTTCTTTTTTTTTTTCTTTTTGTGGATGTATTACTAATTTTTTTCCTTTGCTTTGCAAAGGAGGAAACCAATATTCAAATTCTCCTACGTTGCTGCTTCCTGACCCAGCTCTTCTGGAAACCCACGGAAGTGCTGACTTTCAGATTTTAAAGGGAGATGAAGGAGAAGGTGAAAGAGCAAACAAAGGAGAGGTCAGCACTCAGGGGTGCTCTTCACTTCAGGGCTACAAGAGGTACTAAAATATTTTTTTTTAGCAATTATTAAGGTCATTTAATCTCAAGATGGCAGAATTGCTTCTGGCACATTAAATGCTCATGAGTCTTGTTGAAAGTGCTGTGATGCCCATTAGGGTATTAAATATTTATCTTTGCAAGCTTTTAAAACACAGATTTTTACCTGTGCCAGAAGAAAGAAATTTTTTACAAGTATTTTAACATTAAACTGAATAACAGCATACTAGCAGAGAGAAACATTTTCTACATCATCTTAAAAGAGGTGAAGAACCAAATATATAAAGTGTACTGTTTCCTCATGATTCTTCATATCTCAACCATGTCTGTAATGTGTTAGCTGCTTTCTGAACACAAAGATGCAATGAACAGAGTGTATCTTAAGAAGGCAAAAACCTCATGAAAGACAATCAGTTTGAGTTGACAAGCGGCAAATCTCTTATTAGTAAATATGATGAACTATTTTGGTATTTTTTCCTGGCCATTTTTTTCTACGTTTAAAATTACCCAATTGTGGCATCCACTGTATTTCTTTCCCTTCCCAGCCCACTGTCATGATAGTGGAGTGAGCCGAATGGGATGCTTTTGTACATCCTAATATTCCCCTCTTGTGAAGGGGCTTGGTTTCCTTCCCTGATTCCACTCCCTCTTGGTGCTTCCAAGCCAGATAGATACGAGAAACCCTGCTGGCTTCTGGTACCCAACAAACTTTTGCTTGTGTGTTTTACAAGCCCATACTGTAAGCCAAATAAAGTGCTTCTGAACAGCTTCATCAAAACACAGAGATTTCCCAAAGACCCACTGAAAACATAAAACCTCTTCAATAAAAGCCAGACAGACCCAACAGCCCACTCATGAGACAACACATGTACCTGAGTATACACATACAAGACACATTTTGTCACTCAAAATATATGCAAAGACCAAAAACCTTCTACTTCTTGGTCAACTGAATACATGTGATGGCATGATTAACAAGTGATGAAGTTCTTCATGCAGATTTCAGCTCCAGAAAATATGACTCAGAGTAACATGCAATACATACCACGCATTCAATATGAGTGTAACAGAAGTATTTATACACACAGCTATGGGGTGGAAGAACAGTGGAAGTGCGTGCACAGAGCTCTGCAGCCCTCTGTATATTGCCAGCAACTGTATTACATGAGATCCACTTCACCTTTTATTGTTGGCAGGTTTTTCCCACCTTATTTGACTCAGAGGTTCTCTTTATAACAAAAGAGCACAAAACCCAGCAGAAACAAACCACCTTTTATCTTTCATCAGGTATGACCCAATTCTAAAACAGGGCTAGCCGAGTTAGCCACAACAGCAGAACTGCTTAATTCTCTCACCCGCTAATCATCATTGTTCTCTGGCTCCCAGCACTGATAGTTATTAGCTAAGAGACAAAGTGCTTCCTTTGACCTGAAAGAACTTTGCTCATTGAATCTTCTTTTCTGCTGGAACTAAAATCTAGTCAAAACAAGTGTTGTGGTTTAAGCCCAGCCGTAAATCAGAATCATGCAGTCTCTGTCTCAATCCCCCTGCCTCGCTCCCAGAGGTATGAGGAGGAGAATCGAAAGAATGTAACGCCCATGGGTTGAGATAAGAACAGTCCAGTAACTAAGGTATAACACAAACCACTACTGCTACCACCAATAATAATAATGGTGAGGGAAATAACAAGGGAAGAGAATACAGCCGCTCACCATGTGCTGACCGATACCCAGCCTGACCCGAGCAGCGATCTAACCCTTCCAGGTAACTGCCCCCAGTTTATATACTGGGCATGACGTGCTGTGGTATGGAATACCTCTTTGGCTAGTTTGGCTCAGGTGTCCTGTCTCTGCTTCCCCCCCCTCCCTGGCAGAGTATGAGTCCTCGGTCAGAGTAAACATTACTGAGCAACAACTAAAAACATTGGTGTTATCAGCGCTGCTCCCAGGCTGAAAGTCAAAACACAGCACTGCAGCAGCCACTAGGAAGGAGAAAAATGACTGCTACTGCTGAACCCAGGGCAGTATCCACCCCTTATTCCATGCCATTTACATCATGCTCAGATCCCACATTTTCAATGTACCATCACTCTTATCTCATATATATACATATATATACATCCACAGAGAGAGAGAGAGAGATGGAGATCGAGATCATTCCTTAGTGCATGGACCAATCCCTATAAAGCTGCCGAGTCCATCCGGTCCATGGTGTCGGGCTCCATCTCTTGTAACAGTCTTTCAGCACAGGAGAGGCTCTGTGCAGTGTTCACACACATGAATAAACTCAGCAACAGTGTCCATTGCTAAGTCCACCCCTTGATCATAAGTCCATCTATATGCCGCATCTCTGCCCTGATGGCCTGAAGTGTCATGGGACCATCAGGCTCAAAATAATTCACCCTCTCTTTCAGCAGTTTCTGCAGCTTGTCGTTGGGGACTCCATACAGCTGCCTTCCATCTCCAATGCTTCCAAAGCACGGGAGGGGCCCACTGGCCTAGATACTTGCCCATGCTGTCCCACACACCCTGCCACTCATGACTGTCCAGCCTTGGGGAAAATCTCTTGCTCCTCCTGTATCGTCATCTAACCTAGACAAGGCCCAAATGTGA